GAGTAGGGCTCGTCAGGAATTGGGAAGGAACTGGTGCAGCAAAGGGTGAGAGAGGCATGAGTCAGGATTGAAGGTAAGTTTCTGGCCAGATACATGAAATGAAGATACAACTGCGGCCCGATACAGGGAGCACAGGATGAAGGCTGACAGTCACTTGAATCAGTGCTATGCTTATGATCTTGCCCGGTCAATCAGCAAGCCCTCCAGAGAGCGGATTGCCCGCGCATTGACCTAGTCAAAATTCTGGGACAGCTACCATCTCATGCTACTTCCTTATGTCCTACGCCTAAGGCATGCTCACACTATGCCTTTCTCCAATCAATCTGGCCGTCCTCGCATTCCATATACATCAAAGAAAGTCCTTTCATGAGCATTGCAAGGAATATGAGCGAGAGCGATAGACAGAAATCCAAGTTGCAAAATCACGAAGTAGTCCAGATAGTTATGTACCAAGCAGAGAGCACAAAGCACCAAGATACCATCCAAATAACAGAAATACAACGAACTCATGTGCCAATGTCAACGCTCTCTGGCCACACCAACACAGTATCCAATGCCGCTCCTACAGTCTGGCGCCCAGCGCCGAGCCTACGCTACTCAGCCTATCTATCCTATCTACGTTCATGCGACTGGATCACATCGAAGTCGAAGACCAATGTACGTGACGTCAACACCAATGCCGACTACCAGCATACACCAGGTACATTCTCTCCCCTCCCCGCATCGCCCCTTGGTTCCCCCGAGCATGCGCCTCCTACCCGAAGACCACCATCACCATCACCTGCCTGCGCCCCTGCAGCCCCGCTACGGCTGCTGTGCGCCCGCTGCTTCAGCAGCGCCCCTCACCACTGGGCCTGGGGGCAGACACTGAGCACTGGAAGCTACTGGAAACTTCCCAGGCCAGGCCCACGAAGCCAGACGCAGGGCCGCACTTTCCATAAAGGAAGTGCCTCGCAGGCTCATTCTGGCCTTGGCAGGCAATGCGGACATGCTGCTGCGTTGCTGCGCTAGTGTCTGCATGTGCGCTGCTGGTCGGACGCCCGCACCGGCGCTGCTCCCGACCTCGCTGGGTGTCTTCTCCTGTCTCGACTGCCCTGAACAATCTTTCTCTTTCCTGATCTTGCTAGGTGTCTTCTCCTGTCTTGATTTCCCTGCAGTATCTTTCCCTCTCCCTACTACCTCCTCTTTCTCTCTCTATACCATGTAGCTTTTGTCGGCATGGCCGCAGAAACCTCCTCCGCCCTGCTACTATGTACACTAAGGGGCAGCACTGGCAATGACATTGTCCTCGAAACTGGACGCTGATCAGCAAAGAACATCGCCTTTCCTTTCTTTTTTTTTTTTTTTTCATTTATTCAAGCTGTCTTCTCCTCATCGGGGGACAACGTTTTTTTTTTTTTTTTGCACTGCAGACCCATCTGAACACACCTCAGACCATCAGGACGCTATCAGCAAACTCTACTTTGTGCGGATATACCACAGTGCAGCCACACATTGTCGCACTTGTCCACAAGCACATTCCGGAGTCGGATGCAGATCAGCAAAAAAAACACCTACTCTCTCTTTAACCACACGAGCAACACCTCAAGCTACCAAATAACTAGTTTCAAACAAGAAGCAGGGGGGACAACGTTTTTTTTTTTTTTTTTTTTTTTTTTTTTTTTTTTTTGGCACTGCAGAGACCCATCTGGACACACCTCAGACCATCAGGACGCTATCAGCAAGTTCTAATCTGTGTGGGTATGCCACACATTGTCGCAATTGTCCACAAGCACATTCCGGAGTCCGATGCAGATCAGCAAAAAAAACACCTGCTCTCTTTAACCACACGAGCAACACCCCAAGCTATCAAACACCTAATTTCAAACAAGAAGCACGGCGAATGCTGCATTTGCATGTGCCCGAGCAGGAAAGGGAAGAAGGGCGTGGATAGAACGACGAGTGCAGCAGAAGGGAGGTAAATTGAGATCTTTTCAGGATGGGAAAGGAAGCTTGTATATGTTCCGCAGCTGCCAAGAAATACCTTGTTGTTAAGACAGAAGCGGCACGGACCCAGATATGGTTAAGAAAGAGCGATACTGAATGAGGTGGTTCATACCCTGGGATAACGACCATATTTGATTCAGACGACGCCCAGTGCTTGAAGACTTCTAAGCTCAGACCTCCATGAAGCATTCCCGGAGTTGCAAAAAGTACGCATGCTCCTACCTGGTCGATGCTGGCTCGGTCAAAGGGCTGCACTGTTTCCACACACACACACACACACACACACACACAAACACATCATCGCACAATCATTTTTATGTCCTCTTTTGTCTCTCTTTCTTCCCGTTCTTTCCAAGTACTTTCTCTCTATCCAAGCAAGCACCTCAAAACAGTGCTAAATGGCCAGTGGCGGGCTGTTTGGCTTACTGCTTTTTTCCGCATGTTTTTTTGCTTTATGGCCTCTCAAAGGATGACACTGCGCGCTGCCGGCTCTTTTTCAACTGTTGTGTGTAAGCATACCTATTGATGCAACATATGGCGGTACGATCGCGGACGTCTTATACGCCCCCCCCTCCTCCAGGATTAAGTAATTTAAATGTTCGCCAAAGTTTCATTCAACCACAGCTGCCTGATTGGGCACCTTCCTTGCAACAGGTGGCAGGACAGACCTGCAGCATACCAATCCTGGATTGATTGGATGTCCTCCCCCGGGGCCTTGTCTTGCTCGTTGAGATTTGTCAAAACGGATGGCTTTCTTCCAAACTTGTCTCGTAGTAGGGTTGCTGCAGATCTAAGGAAGATGGCACCACAGTAACCATTTGGGCAAATGGGACCACGAGGGGTACCAGATGATATCTTTAGAACAAGTAGGACCAAATATTGTACCATGTGTTCATCTGGAGATATAAATGGAACCACATACTGTCCCACAGGCACTACCTTGGGCCCTTCGTGTACACCACTTTGTGGGCTAACATGGTGGCTCCCTCTTTTTGACGATAGATGGTCAGACGTACTGGGAAGACAGCACATATGTCGTCTCCTCTCTTTTTACCTTTTTTCCCTCCCCCCATACATCGTCAAACAGAGCTGCCCAGTAAACCGTAGGCAGAGAGGGAGAAGAGGACAACAAATGAGCGGCTGTAGAGAGGGAGAAGAGGACAACAAATGAGCGGCTGTGAAAAACTGTTTAGCTGGCAATTTTCCCTCATTGTTCGTACCAAGGCAATTAACTAACTGACTGGTACTGGCATGCCCAATAAGGGCAGAAGTCTGCACAAACATGGGATGGCGGGAAATTGTTAGCGAGTGAAGCGTGGACAGAAGAGCGAGTGGTATCAGCTGCAAGACAAATAATAAGCAAAACAAAAGTGATTGCTCAACACGTGTTTTCATTATCGTCATTATGCATATGCCACACCCTCTTGTACTCTTTTCACCCTCCTTTTCTGCATCGCTTTGTTGCGAAGCTGCGGCTGCAGTTCTTGCTCAACACGTGTTTTCATTATCTTCATTATTATCCATAGGTCACACCCTCTTGCACTGTTTCCCCCCTCCTTTTCTGCATCATTTTGTTGCCAAGCTGCAGGAGCAAGCGGTTTCTCTGGAGACACGCAACTGCTCGCTCACCGAAGCCATGTTGCTACCAACTCTTCTGTATCATGCCTTTCACTGCATTACACCTAAGGCAACGCAGTCCGTTGCTTTCCCACAAACGAGCGGGGAAGACAAGGTATATACTGTACGCATTTTGACACCCCTGTGCATCACTTCGAGTGCAAGAATCTCTTGCATCGCTGTTGAGTGCGTCGACTCCCTTCTTAGAGGGAGCCCTCCCGGTCATTTCGGGCAGGAGGAAGAGAATGCCGAGTGCACTTAAGCAGTTTGCCACTCTGACCGGGTGAGCTAGCTTACATCCCGCCTAGCCCTATGACAGGATAGGGCCTAGAGGGCAAGCTTACCCTACACAAGGGGCTATCACCAACCTTGGGACCTTATCCCCACCAACTCACCGAGCTACCGATGCACGTATGGCAGGTTTCACCTGGTGCTGTACGGATACATTGGTCGAGGGTGCTTTTTGTCCGCTGATGTGGTATTCACAACCGACAACGCCTTTGCGAACCTGCTTGTAACCAAGGTCACGGGGCGCTGAGCTTCCCCACCTTAGAGGCAAACAATCAACTAGGGCGCCTAACTGCTTTCGCTCCTCATCATTTTCTCTACCTTGTAATGTTGCACGGACGTGCACTCCCCTTATCGGACGTTCATCTTCTCAAGTTCCATGCAACACACACACACACACACACACACGCACACACACACACACACACACACACACACAGAGAGAGAGAGAGAGAGAGAGAGAGAGAGAGAGAGAGAGANGAGAGAGAGAGAGAGAGAGAGAGAGAGAGAGAGAGAGAGAGAGAGGGTCTGTTCGCTGGTTTGTTATGAAGGGATCCTTGCTGTGCTTCTGCCCCCTTCCCTTCTCCCCTTTCGCCCTTCTCGGCCCTTCAGTTCCCCGATCGCTCTATTTCCTCCCCAGTCAACGATTGACAGAGCTCCTCTTCCCTCAACCTGCCCACTCCCCCCTCTTTTGGGCCAAGCCAAGGGAAAGGGCAGTCCATGAGCTTTGTTGAATTCTGCAGGAATATTATCTGCGAGACTTCCACTTGTCAAACACTGTATAAGTTGCTTCCAATTTTACAATCAAAATTGTGAATACGGAATTCCAGGTCCACTTTCGTTTTCTTTTCCGATTGTTCTGGAAATACTTTTTACCCTCTTGAGCTTACCCTCTCGAGCTTGAAGGGTAGATATGACAACATATAATAGTGGAGTAAGAGGCATACTAAAGTAAACATCCAGACGTCGGTGGCAGATATCGACTGCATTACCGTTCTTGAAGTCGAAGGTGTTTCTTGAAACATAAGAATCCTTCACTTTCTCATTCGCCCAGTTGATGAACAACCTGTAGTACAGATTTGCCTTCGCTGTCAATCCTGTGAAAAAATTACGAAGAATAGAAAACAAAGACAACCTTTGAGCCCAAGTATGCAAAAGAAAGTTGCACACAGTTATCAAGTCCTCTTGCGAGTGACTATTGCATTGCTCTCTCTCTCTCTCTCTCTCTCTCTCTCTCTCTCTCTCTCTCTCTCTCTCTCTCTCTCTCTCTCTCTCTCTCCTGCGCGTGCGCACATGCACAAGCGCGTATAGCCAGATTGTATAACTGTGCTGAAGTTGGCAGTTAGAGGTATTGCCACCTTTTAGCGGGGCTTCCATTTGAAGCTTATCCAGCACTGGGCAGGCATCAGACTCTACACGTCATGTTACCACTTGGCAGAGTCCGTTTTTCTTAATAAACAAAATGAAACAGGACCTCTTCTGCCCACAGGATAAGAAAAAGTGGCATTAAAATTTCGATCAGTAATAGCAGAGTAATAGCACCTGCTACTACCGCAAGAGTCTGAAATAACCATTCGTTTTTCATTTTGTATGTTCTCGTTTTATTGGTGGGCCCAACATACGAGATTGCCGCCTGCTTCACAATTGCGGATGCTTCTCGTTGCCATGACCATATAAATAGAATGCTTTCTGAACACAGAACATCTCCCTAGGTTGGATTCGGACAAACAACCCAATAGAAAGGGGAAGCAGCGTGTGTAATCTGACTTCTCTCTCTCTCTCTCTCTCTCTCTCTCTCTCTCTCTCTCTCTCTCTCTCTCTCTCTCTCTCTCTCTCTCTCCTCTCTCTCTCTGTTGTCCTCTTCTCCCTCTCTGCCTATGGTTTACCGTGCAGTTCTGTTTGATGGTATATAACACGACTTCAATAGCACCCAGCTACAGTTTTCTCCGGTCAGGTTGAGCGTCTGTGGTCGGGGGCGTCACTACGAGGCCATGCTGTGCCTCTAATGCCAGCAGCATGTCTGGAGTGTGTTTTGTGGCTGTGATAGACCTTTCTTTGTTTCGTGGGTGTTTTGCTGGCTTGTGATGGGGTGTGAACCGATAGTCTGTAAAGATTTCCATCTGGTGTGGGTGAGTGATAGTCTGCTTTGATTTTCGTCACAGGTACCTTGAGGGGAGTTGTTGGTGCCCACGTGAGGGTTTCAGTTGTCGGGCAGTCGTTGATGCTTAACCACAACCGGGGTTAAGGTGGATTGTCACTTACAGTGTAATCAGTTAGGGGATGCTGCAGATTGTTGAGGGTTCAGCCTCCTGATGAGTCGGTGAAACTCCGTCGAAACAGTTTGTCACAACCGGGCAGCTCTGCAGCTCTGTTTGACGATATATATATCGTTGGTTCAACGAGTCAATGACACTGCCTGCGACTTGAAGTCTTGCTCAGTCATCCAATGAGTCCTTCGTTACCTCCCTTGATTACCTAAGAAATCCATGGCCATGACACATTGCAGTGCCCACCATGTGCCTCTCAATGGGACACTGCCAGGACGTAAGTGCAATGAATTGCAGTGCTGCAAGCGGGCTGTATACTAATTTTGCCCATTTTGCCATTGCCAGGACTTGATCCCGCGACCTTTGTTTGCTGTGTGTTTGTCGTTTTGCCCTGTTTGTGTGTTTTGTCTGTTTTGATTGGTGTGGGGCTTGACCCCGTGACCTGCTGGTTGTTAGCTATGTTCTTTTTTTTTTTTTTTTTTTTTTTTTTTTTTTTTTTTTTTTTTTTTTGCTACGTTCTTAGTGGTAGGTCTTGGACCACTGGGACTGCGTGGATGTTTCTGGTAGGGCTGTAGGTCGTTGGGCTGGCTGCCCGTTTGTAGAAAATAGGAAGTAGCGAGAAGTACCGGGTCGCATCTCGTTTGACTGGGGAAACTCTGCCCGTCTGTTGTTGGAGCGCTGCTGCATTATTTTGGGTGAGGTCTTCTTTTTCATTGAAGCCCAGCCATAGCTGGGGTTGTGAAACGGAGTTGAAGACCGCACTGCAGCTATTTCGCAGCTCTGCATTAGAGCTTCCACAGGACTGTGTTGTTGGGTTTGGGCACTGCCATTTCCACTTGGCATCCATATCTGGAACTTCATCTTCTTCAAAATGCTGGATCGGTTGTCTCCTTCTTCATCAGGACTTCCAGCGCTGCACTTCCGTGCAGGCGCTGCTATCATTGGGGTTGCTGGTTCAGATTGGCACGTTGTGACAGCTGTGGGGTTACTGCTGCTACGGCAGCCATAACCAGGGGTATGAGGTGGCGAGGCGGTAGACGAAGACTCCTGCATACTTCGTTGAGCATTTGTTTTTGGTTGTTTGGGGTTGTTGACGACAACGCGGTTGTGATTCTTGGAAAAAGTACTCCGGATTTTGAGCTTCCGCTGTTCATATCGCCTCTCCAGTTTTGTGTGGATTTGCCTCCTTCGAGTCTACTCTGCGATTGCATGCGTGAATGGGAATGTGTGAATTCACTGTGGATTGAAGTTCAATCGGGTACATAAGATTGCCTTGCCCACCATGTGCCTCTCAATGGAACACCACTAGGATGTAAGGGTCCCTTACCTCATCTGCAAACCACGTACCTCCTTTCCACTGAGCTCAAACTTGAAAAGGTGTTACCAGAACTTGCCGCGTAAGGGAACAAAATGGAAGTGTATTCAGTCTCAACAACTTTTGTCGAATATTTCATTTCATTTATTATTTTTATCAACTTTATTCTATTGGACTCGTCTAACTGTCCTGAGAAATAGTTGGATCTACTTTTTAGGCAAGCTAACCGTATTACTTGGTACTTGTTGTTTAACAGCTTTACTTTTCACGAGAACAGTTACCTCTCGCAACTCACTCTGCTTGCTCTCGCTTAAACCACAAGTACACCCGAACCTGATTTAAACGGACCTGAATTTCACTGCGCGCTGAGTTTTGCCGAGCCTGGGTCCCGTTGTAGTTCCTTTTTTGGTACTCCTACGAAATGAACAGCGTAAAGAAAAAAAAGAAACAACAAAACAATAAATGCAACCCTGCCGTCTTAACCCGAAAACAAGGTATGTACCTTGTATTTGAATACAAGGTACGTACCTTGTAGAATGAATTTTAGGGTGCAACTTTCCTAAGGCAAGTATGTAGTAAATATTAGTAAAAATATCACAAATAGAACACCGTCGACTGCTACCAGGACGGGGCTGCAGCGTGACGTTCAATTTTGTTTGTTTATTTTTTTAAAGAACACATTGACTGCGCTGCATGCTCACGATGCGGCATGCATTCGAATGCTAGTTGGGTTTGAGTGTGTGTGAGAGAGAGCATTGCACCCGTGTGTGGAGGTAGGTGAGTGGACAGCGCACGCCACACACACACACACACACAGAGAGAGAGAGAGAGAGAGAGAGAGAGAGAGAGAGAGAGAGAGAGAGAGAGAGAGAGAGAGAGAGAGAGAG